GTTTTTTTCAACACATTTCTAAAAGTAATAGTTTTAATAAATATATATAATATAATATATATAATAATATATATAATATATATGTACACACAGTTTTCAACAGTGATAATAATAACTAAATGTTCCATGAGCTTATTGTGAAAAAAGGAATATATTTTTTATTGTTGTTGTTTCATTTTCTTTTCATTAAACAATTGTATTTGTATTGCCTAAAGGGGATTTAACTGAAGTTTTTCTGTTAAGTGGGATATGCTTTGCATTCTAATGAAACATTTTCTGAAGTAGATGAAGCTCAAAGAAATGCAAAAGGCCTGATTGTCTAATTTTAACTTGAGCTCTGCAGCGAAACGTTCTATGTGCATTTGATGTTGTGCAGAGAATTAGTAGAAAAAGAGGATGTATGTATGGGTGCGGCCAATGGAGCACTGAAGAATGATTGACCAGTTACGAATTTTAATAAACTCCACCTGTTAATATCAGCTAAAAGCACGAATCAGGCAATTAAATTTGTTGTGCACATCCTGAATGTGATTCTTGCATTGCATTGAGGATACCGGAATTCTGTGAATAGGATTATTCGAATTATTCATTTGTATCCAATAAATTATTAAGATTTTTGACATTGAAGAAAAACCTCTCTTGACCTTTTTTATTGAACACGCATAAAATTGATAAATATTCCAACAAGCTCTAAATGACTTCTGATCAAATATTTGTGACACTAAAGAATGGTGTAATGATGCACAAAAAAACTGCTTTAAATCCCAAGAAAAAGTCAAATGTTATACTGCCTTAAGAAAGCAGCGATTTAAAATCGTAATAATATTTCTCAATGTTACAGTTCTTACTGTATTTGTGTTAAATAAATGCAGCCTTGTTGAGTAGAATAGGCTTCTTTTATAAATAAAAAGGTAAAAATCCCTACTGTACTGTATGTAGAGTAAAGTGCACTTCAATTCAGGACTCAGGACTATTTCTGAACATCCAGATCACACAAAAGCTCATCCGTTTCCTGATGTAATGTTGATAGCTCTATATCCCATTCTCTCCCTCAGTTTCATCATCTGCAATCTCTGGATCTCTGCTGCCTATCTGATAAATCAGCCTGGATGATTAACTCAAGACTGAGCTCTGATTCCTTTCAGCCAGGATGTCCTCTATATTCATCAGAGGTCACACAGTCAGCACATACACGGCTGTTTCATAGCTCACCTTCATTGACCACATTACAGCAATTGCCAGCTCCAACTACACTCCATTATGTAAGGAAAATGAAGCAGATTGTAGAAACTCTCTGAAATAAAAGCACAAAAGCTGTCACTGGGGAAGCACATTTTTAAAAATGTTTTTCCCTTAAACGTTCTATATTGGTACATTTAAGGAACATGTATGTAAAGATGTACACATTACAAGAAAAAGAAGATACCAGATAGCAGGATTTTCTGAGCAGCATGTATGCTAAGTTGCTACCCAAACCACATAATAGCATGTCAATATAATATACAAACATTTTACAGTAAGTTTCACATATTGATTTGGGGACATTAATTTGTTTGTTTGCACTTTATATTGTTCAAATAATTCTGAAAAGTAAAATGTGTCCCATACCAATGTTTTCACCGCTGATAATAATAAAAATGATAATCATAACAAAGTTTTTAAAAATCTGAATGACTTCTGAATGACTAAAAGGCTGATAAATGTTACAGTTGTAGACTTTTTAATCACAGGAATAGACTGCGTCTTAAAATATATATTTTAATTTGACATAAAATTGTATATATGTATGCATGTCTGAATTTGGGAAAAAATCTAGCAACCACCTAGCAACGCCATAGCAACTACTCAGAACACGCTAGCAACTGCCTAGCATCACCCTTGCAATACCTTAGCAACCACTCAGAACAACCTAGTAACCCCCCAGCAATGCCTTAGCAACTACCTAGCAACACCTTAGTTGCCGATTAGCAATGCCTTAGCAACCACTCAGAACACCCTTGCAACCGCCTATGAACCACTCAGAATACCCTAGCAATAACTTAACAGCTACCAGGAGCACCTTAGCAACCACTTAACAAAACCTTAGCAACCGCCTAGCAAATACTCAGAACACCATAGTAACTGCCTAGCAATGCCTTAGCAACTACCTAGCAACACCTTAGCCGCTGCCTAGAAATGCCTTAGCAACCACTCAGAACACCCTAGCAATCACCTAGCAACATCTTAGAAACCACATAAAACACCCTAGCAACGCCTTAGCAACTGCTCAGAACACCCCACCAACCGCCTATCAACCACTCAGAATACTCTAGCAACCACCTAGCAATACCTTAACAGCTACCTGGAGCACCCTAGCAACCCCTAGGCAGTTAGAACACCATAGTAACTGCCTAGCAACACCTTAACCACTCAGAACACCCTAGCAACAGCCTACCAACACCTTAGCAACCACCAAGTAACACATTAGCAACCACTCAGAACAACCTAGCAATGCCTTAGCAACTACCAAGCAACACCTAAGCCACTGCCTAGCAACACCTAAGCAACCACTCAGAACACCCTAGCAACCAAGTAGCAACATCTTAGCAACCACATATCAACCACTCAGTATACCCTAGCAACCACCAAGCAACACCTTAAGAGCAACCTAGAACACCCTAGCTACTGCTTAGCAAAACCTTAGCAACCGCCTTTCAACCACTCATAACACCTCAGCAACTACCTAGCAATGCCTTAACAGCCACTCAGAACACCTTAGCAACCACTCAGAACAACCTAGCAACGCCTTAGCAACTACCTAGCAACGCTTAGCAACCACTCAGAACACCCTTACAACCACCTAGCAACACCTTAACAGCTACCTGGAACGCCCTAGCAACCACTTAGCAAAACCTTAACAAATGCCTAGCAATCACTCAAAACACCTTAGCAACTGACTAGCAATGTCTAAACAGCCATTAAGAACACCCTAGCAACCACCTGGCAACACCTTATTAACCGCCTAGCCATACCTTAGCAACCACCTAGCAATGCCTTTGCAACCACCTAGCAACATCTTTGCTTCTACCTAGCAACGCCTTAGCAACCACTCAGAACACCCTAGCAACCACGTAAAACACCCTAGCAATGCCTTAGCAGCTACTCAGAACACACTAGCAATGGCATAGGCACAACCTAGCAACCACCTATCAACCACTCAGAATACCCTAGCAATCATTTAGCAATACATTAACAGCAACCTCGAATACCCTAGCAAGCGCTTAGCAAAATCTTAGCAGTCGCCTATCAACCATTTAGAACACCTTAGCAACCGTCTAGCAACGCCTTAACAACCAGTTAAAACACCCTAGCAAGGCCTTAACAACCACCTAGCAACCACTCTGAACACCCAAGCAACACATTAGTAACCATTCAGAACACCCTAACAACCAATTAGCAACACCTTAGCATCCACTCAGAACTGAAAACTGAAAAAAACATGCTAACATATATGTTATCCCTTTCTATGCCAACTGTTTAAAACTACTTCAATTATTTGAACTTTAAAACTACTTCAAACTTTCAGACGAGGCTTGTCTCTTGAAATGTTCAACAATTAAAACTAATTAATTAATAATTCATTCATTCATTCATTCATTTTCGGCTAAGTTCTTTTATTTATTTGGTGTCTCCACAGCGGAATGAACCTCCAACTTATCCAGCATATGTTGTCAACAGTGGATGCCCTTCCAGGTGCAACCCATCTCTGGGAAACATCCATACACATTCACACACATATACTATGGCCAATTTAGTTTACCCATTTCACCTGTACCACACGTCTTTGGACTGTGGGGGAAACCAGAGCACCCTGAGGAAACCCACGCAAACGCAAAGAGAACTTGCAAACTTCACACAAAAAATGCCAACTGACCTACTGCACCACTGCGTCGCCACATTTAAAACAATCAGCAGTAATTAAATGTTAAAGTTTGGTAAAAATAAACTGAAATAGTGTTTTCTTGTCTACAAAAATACTCTCTATGTTTGATTTACATAATAACAGCAAAAAAATCTTCAGTGGGAACATTTAAATATGCGCATAGCAAGCAGCATTAGAGGGAAAATTAACATATTACAATCTTAAAGGGACAGTTCCCAAGCAAAATTATATTGTTCTCACTATTTCGTCACTTTCAAGTGTTTATAAACTGTTATGAGTTTCTTTCTTCTGTTAAACACAAAACAAGATATTTTGAAGAAAGCTAAAAACCTGTAACTATCGGCTAAGGACAACTCCAAGTAAACACACCTGAACCAGCTAATCAAGCTCTTTCTAGGTATATTAGAAACTTCCAGGGAGGTGTGTTGAAGCAAATTGGAGCTAAAATTAGCAGGAAACCGGCCCTCAAGGACCAAGCTTGGACATTCCCTGGCTTAGGAAAAACAAATACTAATGAAGTCAATGGTTACAGGTTTCCAGCTTTCTTTAAAATATCTTCTTTTTTGTGTTTTGAACAGGAGAGAGAAAACGATGATGACAGAATTATCAGTTTTTTGGGTGATCTATCTGAGTTCATTTAAAACAAAACTAAATGTGTTACTTTGATTTTTATACTTAAACAACCTGAGAAATAAGCCACCAGAGGGCAGCATACATCAAATATTCAGCTTCACTCAGAGGTGCTGCTGGACTATCAAAAACCACCTGAGAAAACAAAACTCTAACATTTAGTCAATTCAAACTCGCACTTTTGAGGAGTGGTCTGTAAATAAAGCAATTCGTCACTTTTACACGTTCTTCATGTATTCTTTAGCCGGCTACATTACAGACAATAACCTTAGGGGAAAACAGGAGAATGACGTGAAACGAGGGATAAGGAGTAACCTTGGTGTTTGCCTCTTGTCCTGTGATTGGCTGACGTTTTTTGTGTCTACAATATAAATCGCTCAACTAACGGGACTCTCTTATTATATCAACTCAGAAAACTGCGCGCAATCAGGATCTACAACTCATCATCACTTTTTACACAATGGATTAACACGCCTGGATACCATCATCTGATTTATTCTACCAAGTTAACTTGTTTGGCTTTAGATCAACAGATTGTTTAAAAGTGGACTTTTTTTTGCCTGTTGGACACTTTTTTTGCGCACACTGTACACCATGGCCAATACTTGCTTACAGTTCACGGGTTTTGTGATGAGTTTTCTCGGCTGGATCGGGCTAATCGTCGCCACTGCCACTAACGAATGGGTCTTCACCTGTAAATATCAAATGAACACCTGCAGGAAGATGGATGAACTGGAGGCCAAGGGGTTGTGGGCAGACTGTGTGATCTCAACTGCGCTTTATCACTGCATCACACTCACGCAGATTCTCGAGCTTCCAGGTACGTCTGAAAAAAAACAACAAAAAACAAAACAAAAACAAAGATACTTCTTAAGAGTTTATCTATTTTATTAATTTCTTACCAAGATTGAAAACCGTAAAAGACAAAGCTGTTTTCTTATTTGTTAGAATAAAGATAAAATGCCAATGAAAAGTGCTAAGTAGTGGCATGTTTATTGTAATCAGGGGCGGATTTAAGCAATAATCAAGGTAAGCGGCCGCTTAAGGGCGCCAGTAAATCTGAGGGTCTCCAAATAAGTATACATGATAGTATAAATTAGATATAACATACTTTCTATCATATTTTGTACGGAGAGGGTCTAAAATTTTTTTATTTTGACGTAATTGTTGTTGAATAAATGTAATTACATCTGGGCAAATGTGTCCCCTTTCTTTAATCATGGAGCAGTCTTGTGGTCTAATTAGTATAGAGTTAGTTTTAAAAACGAAATAGTTTATTATTTAGCAGGTTTAGTTGTGAATTCATCTTAAGAAAACAAATCGTTTTAAAACATTTTACAAGGTGCTTGACATGTTATTACTATTTTACATTATGATACAATGTAGAAATTGATATCGAATTATATAAAAAACACAACAAAATAAAAAATCGACACAAAAAGTACACAAGGTGCATTTTAGATATTTTGGCCCCCTGGCTGTAATTGTTTAGGACCCCAAGTCACTAAATCCACTCTTGATTGTAATAAAATAAAAATATTAGGCTATATTAATATAATATGAATTGTTTTTAAAGTTTTATTTATTTTTGTATAATTGAAGTTTAAAGTTAAAGTTTACAGATTAAATTATTAGAGCAGAATCTAGACAATTTCACAAACAATTCAAAAGCTAATAATACCTTGAACTCAATTGAAAGAGTTAATGTCGAAAACTGTAAAAGCACTTTTTTTGCAAAACACATTTCAATAATCTTTGTTTCATATAGTGTATAAATGGTTAAATCCATTACAGATTTCTCTTTTAAATTAATAATTTTGATTATAAGGAGGCTTAACAATATTAAACTATTTGAGCACCAAATCTAAAACTGGAACAAATCTAAGCAAACAAACAAACAAACAAACAAACAAACAAACAAACAAACAAACACATAAGATAAAAAACCCACATGAGATAAAAAAACACACACATAAGATAAGTCAAAAAATTACACCCAAATTAATGTTAAGGAAAATATTAAATAACATTTTAATAAACAGGAAAAATAAAGAGAAACACAAAATATATCAAATTCAGTTGAATTTTTTTAGTTTTGTAGTTTTTTATTTGCAATGACTCGTTTGAATTTAAATGTTTTCTCTTTTATTTATTCCTAAAGATGCTGCTTAAATGCTCCAAAATTAAACTTATTGTCAATATATTTACTGAGAAATGAATAAAAAATATTCCTTTTCTAAAGGGGTTCTCAACCAACTCTAGATGAATGTCAAATAAAAAAAAATTATATTTCCTAAAATCTTGTGACAATTTACAAACAAATAATGTATTATCTTTTTAAAAGTGTATTTTTACATCCTGTATAAAAATAACTACACTGTAAAAAATATACGATCAATTAGTCCTGACAGCATACGTTTTAGGTCTTTGTAACTTATTAAACTAAGCTAAACATGTTCTAACTTAATTTTACTTAAGTTACGCAAACAGTTTTAAGTTAGTTAAACATCATATAAGTTCAATGGACTCATACGGTTAATTTGATTCAGCTTAAAAATTAAAGGCAACCAGGAGTTTTTAGTGTAACAAAATTCTAAAAATCATTACAATTCAGCATTTTCATTTCACTTTTCTGAATTCATGACTAAAATCACCTTTCTTTTCTTCATTAAGCATACATCCAGACGTCTCGAGCTCTAATGGTCACAGCATCGATTCTTGGATTGCCTGCCGTTGTGATGGTGCTCATGTCCATGTCCTGTATTAACCTTGGAGGTGAACCAGAAAGTGCCAAGAACAAGCGATCAGTGCTCGGAGGAATCCTAATACTGCTGACAGGTAGGTGTCTTTTTATACTTGTGGAATTAAAGTCATATTATACTCATTAAATACCCCACTGAATGCTGCCCTAAAAACAAAAAGGCCTTTATTTATAAAATCAAAAAAAAATTGCTCAGGGGTAACGTAAATAATGAGTCGGTGCTATCCGAGTTAGGAATTCATCAGAATAAACAGCAAAAAACATCCCAAAGCACTCAAAACATGAGGAAAATATTTAAAAATATAGTTTTGTTTTTTAATATATTTTTTTCACTTTGTTTGAGTGCCCTGGACTGATTTTTGCTGGTTGTCCTTTATTTACACCAATGGTTTCTATAAGAACCTATAATATTCATAGAATCTATACTATACTATACTATACTATATATGTATATATATATATATATATATATATTGATTGATCCAACTGGACAATTATTCTGTCGGGAGTATCTGGCCTATTTTGCTAATATTAAAATTTACTTTGTTCAGTTATCAAGGTTTCAGTCAAAATATAGTAGGAAACTCTTTATTGCTCTCTCATTTAAGTCTTAATACAACATTAATGTGTATTTAATGTTGTCTTTACTTCCTCAGCTTTCTGTGGCATCGTCTCCACTGTGTGGTTTCCCATCGGGGCCCATCACGAGAAGGGTCTGATGTCCTTTGGCTTTTCTCTGTATTCAGGATGGGTGGGGACAGCTCTCTGTCTGCTGGGAGGCTGTATAATCAGCTGCTGTTCAGTGGACAGTCCTGCTACATACACTGAAAACAACCGATTCTACTACTCCAAACAAGGCCCTGCCCACACAGGCCCCACCTCCACCAACCACGCCAAAAGCGCTCACGTCTGAGCTTCTGGATTACAGATCAGATCTGATTTCCACTCCCTTTTTTCTCTCTCTTTCTTATTTCAGCCATGTTTCTTTATAGCGGTGTCTCTTTGGATAGTAATCATAAAGCTGAACTCACTCGAAACAAGGGACAATCGCTGGTGAAGGACCTGCACTGAAGGATTTGCTGTTCAAGAAGTCTTCTACTGATTCTGCTCATACAGTGTCATTTAAAGTTGTATTTTTGTAGTAAGAAATGTTTTTACGTTGCTATATGAATACTAACAGTATTTGCCAGTGTTGTTTTTCATTCTAAACTTCTCATGTTTGTACAGCTGTATTTTCATTTCAGAGCATTTCAGAATAACCGATCAGACTAGATTGCACCAAAATTGGACCAAAGCAGTATTATTTAGCAATATTATTTATTGTAGTACTTGTATGCAGTTTTATCTCTCTGTTTTTTTTGTATTAAACAATATCATCCATGTGAAAATGTCTGTGAAATGGTGATTTTTACAGTTTTGAATCGCTCTCTGCAGTAGTGCCTACTGTATGCCATCTGCAGATGTCAGATAGCCAGGCAGGTGTAGTGCATCATCATTAAAGCACTCATTCATTCTCACTAAAAGCACTTGAGACGCACACACGATTCAGCTACCCAAGACATGTACTGTATCGATTTCTATTACTCCAAAGAGAAGCTTGTCCCATTACGAGCGAACTGGCAACTGGCAGACAGCACTGATTAAAGGTTAACGTCGCAATCAAGCATAAAGGATGATTAATGCTCTGCTTGAGAGTCGGGGTCCTTGCACACATTTCTTGGTACAATGGAGTTAAAAAGTTTGAATCCTGAGGTCGCATGCAACATATATCTGTGAAAAAACATAGCTAATTTAGTCACTATATAAAAATGATGGGAATATTGCTTATTTAAATGTCTTAGGAGTTTAGTCTTTGGTTAGAGGTAGTTTTGGGTGAAGAAAGCTTAATGAAAAATTGTACTGGTTTCAACTGAATATATCTTTTCCAAATATGGCTACAAATGGCTGCCTAAAGTAAAGATAGAGGCAGACCTAAAATGGCAGAATATGTTATAACGGTAATGCAGCCTTCTTTCTTCACAGTTGAAGCTTGCAGAGATACTGTAGTTCGACTGTAATTACTGCCTTTTTAAAGGGTCATGAAACACTGTTTGAGATACTTGTGTTTCTGGTGACAGAAATTATTCTACACCTTAAGAATGGTGTCAAACAAATATGTGCCCCCAACAAAGTACCTTTAAGGCCAGTCATTTCACTTGGCGGCCATCTTTGAAACACCTATCAGGAATGCAAGCAAAGCACCTGGCTGCATTCCAGTCCAAATTTTTATGACCTGCACTCTAGTTCCCTTGGCTGTACACCACTGATTACATTACACAAGTGTCTACTACTGGTGGAACATCCGAATGGGTTTAAAAGGAATGCCTTAAACTATTAAAACTACACTGTTGTGATCTCACAATCACACTGAAAACTGGGACACATAGGTGCTGGAGTGAACATATGAAGCCAATTCCATGTAAGTTCCATGAAAGCTTCCCTCATTCACTTGATGAAGTGGAATGCACTTCAAAATGGCATTGGGGATTCCCCTGAGGGAACAAGGGAAGGGAAGTTCGCAAGTGCGTGTGTGAAAATGCACTGGAACGCAGCCCAAATCTCTTTGAAAGGGCAAACATCAAATTCTCTAAAACCGTTTGCCAAGCTTATGATTAAATTTAATATTTAAAATCAACAATGAAATATAGCACCCACCGACACATAAATTGTGTTTTTAATCTTTTCGATCAAAACAAAAAGCTGATGTCTTTCAGGCTGACCGAGTTGATACAAATGCGCTCCCCGAAGGGAACAAATTTGCTACAACCCCCTTTCTGGCCGTTTCTGGAGGATAACAACCACAAGAATCAATAACTTAGACGTTATGCATTGCCACATCTGATCTCTGTGGTCTTCAGAGGTCATTCCAAACGTATTTCTTATGGCAAATTTCCTGCCAAAACAACAGCGACTTGCTGTTTACAAGTTTGTGGGTGTTTATGTGTTTATGTTATTGCTGTCGTGTGATTTGCATTTTATTGGCAGAGGCAAAAGATTATTCAAGATGTTGAGAATTGAGGAAGATGAGAAAGACTTTACATTCGTTTCATACAGATTCCAGAACCAGAGAACATTTGTTAAAGATTTCAAGCTTTATACAAATATATTTATTATGTTGGTGAGGCAAATATTTGCTCTTTTTCAGCTCTTTTTTTCACGCCGTTTTTGTTGAATACTTGAATAAAAACTGTTGAAAAACCAACCCCTTCCTCACAATTATGATTAGACCTTAGCTAATGGCTCCTTTACAAGAATGCAAGGTTTTTGCTAGAGCTGCCATATTGATCACTGCATTTAATTATATATTTTTATTTTTCATTTTTGCATTACATTCAAAAAATTTCAATTAAAACTCTTGTGTATTCTATTGTCTTTACCCCAATGACTAGGGTAATGCACTTATAGGACAAGTGCAACAAAATATATGTCAGAATAAGCCCCATTAACTAAAATCAGGTGTGCCTAAACTCGGTCCTGCAGATTTTAGCTTCAACCATAATTAAACACACCTGGACCAAATAATCAAGCTCTATCTGGGTTTACTAAAAACTTCCTAAAAACTGCTAAAAAACTTTGAGTCCCTGTGGCTGTCATTAGAAGCTTCTGAAAAATAAGCTTTACTATAACGCTATCTAAGCACTTCACTTAAAATTTGGGTCAAACACAGGAAATATTAGCACAATATTCTGTAATTTATGTTTTAATAGGTGTTTTCCAATTATTCACACTTTCACATTGCATTATGGGATGTTGATCTCTGCTTTTACAATTTTTAAACTCAATTTATTTGAAGAAATATCTTGGTTGGTCGTGTAAAATGGTACAAAAACAGTAATGAGCTACGAGAACATTTGATGTTATTTCAGCTATTTGAAATATATTGTTTCTTATGCAAAATACTGATTCAAACTTCTAAAAATGTCAATAAAAGTCACTGTTAAACTGTAGAGTTAAATTTTTAAGATCTAAGGTTGTTGGAGAAGAGATCAAGATCCGATAATACAATTCAAAACCATAAACAACTAGAAAACACTTTGTTTTGCAATGCATTCATCTAAATGTGCATGGATAGCATCTGGATATTTGTTAACAGAATATTGATGCAAAATTTTTTACAACTTATTTAATAATATATTTATTAATACCTTTGGTAAGTATATAAGATAAATGTTCAACATTCAGTTTCAGCAAGTTGTGCCAACAGATCACTTACTGTAACAACCACCAGTGTCACTATTTAAAAACATTTCTGAATAATGCATATGTAATATAACTGTAATATAACAGCATAAGTATAACTACGTAATTTAACTGTTCACATATTAACTATAGCTTCTTAACTGTCATCATCTCACAGGCAGATATATACATTTATCTAAACCTGAACTTTTCTCAAGAGTTTATACTTTGCATTTACTTGCATTGAATATGTATTTTTTCTCAGACACCCGTGTGTATGTTGAGTAATTACAGTTTTATGCCGATTAATAAGTCCTTTTTGCTGCCATTAAAGGCGCTGTATGTAAGTTTTTGACTCTTCTAAACCAAAAAAAAACAACAAAAAAAAAAACATAATATGTTTGCAGATATTTAAGAAACATGCCAAGTGAACATTCTTGTTTAACAGTGCTGAAGTCAGATATTCTGCTTTGAAAATGTGATTTCCATGCTGAAACGCTGTCTTTGTTTTGGTCATTTTAACCTGCCCAATGCCACTTCAGCCAATCATATTTCAGCACCCCGAGTTGCCTTTGATGAAAACCACGTATTTCATTCATTCATTAAAAAAGGCTCTGAAAGCATGCGTCCGTGACTGAAATGCAACCTCTGGTCGACAGTAGCAGACTCCAAAATGAGACGCAGATTCAGAGTTCCACATGAGGTTATTAATTGAAATAAATATGATATAAATATTACGAGCGTAAATATTAGGTGAGCAGGTTACATTGTAACCGCGTGTTCTAACAACATGCTTTGTGACGAGATACGCAGTGATGAGCAATTTGGCTGATTTCACCAGACAAAACACAACAGAAATTTAAATACAGCCTTTCAGAAGCACAGAATGTGCACTCACTCCAAATGAAATGGAAAGATTTATAAACTATTTAATACATATTAACATTATTAAATGTACATGTAACCCCACTGGAACTATGCCACTCAACCTGCCCCGAGCTGGTATCGAACCGGCAACCTTCCGCATGGGAGTCTGTTGCTCTAACAAGGAGGCTAAAGACCATGGCCTCCAGCAACTGTTGCTAGAGCATGTTTAGAGGTCAGAGGAGCAAGGTTTACCTGCACAGCACTGCACTAGCTGGCCTCCGTTACATACATGCTGAATCACTCGTATGTATTTAGTTCTAAAGTTCAATTTCAAGTGTTTTATTTTATTTTCAAGATCTGAGGTGAACTATCTGCTGCTGCTTTCAGTATTTGGCAATAAATGCCATGCAAAATGGCATTCAAACTCATATTGTTAGCATTTAATACTGAATCAAGCACATGAGGTTTACCTGAGGTGATCATTGTCAGTTTTCTGTCGTTCATCTGTGAGGAATAGAAGCCGTTTGTAATATATCAATTTGGGCTGTTGGATAGTTCAAAGACTCTGTTTAATATGGAAAATATTCCTTCTATTGGGTGCCGTTGCTTTTATTTAGAACACAGTTTAAATCACTCGCACCTGTCCTCAATCTGACAACCTGCACTTGTGTTTCTTTTGATCCAGGTGTGCAATACCTAGTTCAACCACTGGGTGTCAAGCGTACACACAGCACCTTTAAAATGTAATAACCCAATATAAACATAGGAGGCCAAGTAGAATACAAATTTTAAAATAAAATTTCAGATGCATCTGAATCCTTCATTTACTATATATATTTTTCAAGTGTGAACAGTGAGGTGACAGTTCTTAGCTTACTAGCTTACCTAGCTTTAGCCTGCTAACCTGTTAGCTCATCATCGATTACAGAAGAACTTGTTTTCTATTTTTAATATATTTCATTTTTTTCATTTAATTGAAAATACATTCGAAAAGATCCCCTGTTGTCCAATACAGCAGGTTAGAGTAGTGTTAACAATAATTGATAGCATACAAGCTGCAATCGATAACTGAAAAAACCCTATCATAATGAGATCTGTGACCCGGTTATAATGACTCTGGATTTGAAATCAAAACACATCAGCTTGATGTGACATTTCTGTGAACTACAAAGCAGATATATGTCAGCTGTTCCGTGTCCAATTTTACATGTGTTCAAAACCGTCGAGAACTGATTCATGCTGAAATGTGAGGTTTCATGACCCTTTAATGTTCATTGCATATTTTGGAAAAGGGTGGATCTGGATTTGAACAAACAAACGAGGTATGCTATACAAAGGTCCAATGTGGAAATAAAGCAACCATGATGTACTAGTTTTAGCTCTTCTGTGTTTTCCTTGGAAAACTGATACTACTGAGCATAAAAGTATTACAGAATTGCGTAGTGATGCCAAATACTTCAGTAAAAGAATTTTACGGATTACAATCTCACAGTATGACACTGACCTTGAACTGAATAGAAAAAAAAACAGCAGTTTCCAGAATGTTTTATAAACATAAACTGTTTTACAGGAAATGTCTGATACTCACTGTGCAGTGAGTCAGTATCACCTTTTGCATATGTATTAGTATGTATGAAGATTAAAGCATCTAATAAGTATATTTGCATAAGCATAAAAGTGCATATTACTTGTGTGTGTTTTTGAGCATTAGGAAGGTATTCCCACCTTCTTCCTCAAATCCAGGATTAGCACCAGGATATTTTGCATCAAAACGAGGGAGTGTTTTCCACCCCCCAAACAGATGATGGACATCACATATAAACTTGATTCAGGCTGATGACAGATGACACAAATGACGTCCTATGATTGCCTCATAGGAATAACACGTATGAAGACTCTCCCCCCAAAAAAAGGAGTGTGCTTCAGGTTGTGTCGATGTCTGCGCCATACAGACAGACGGGTCTGAACTGTATGAATATGAATTTGAGAATTTTCCAAACCATATTGTACCACATCGACCACCAATGCAGCAATGATAATGAAACAGAACGTCTGGATCTGTATATCTCATTCCTCTGCATAGCCAGCGTCGCACCTAGCAGTATGACCATGTTTGTTTTGTGCTCAGGTACGGCCCTCGGTTTGCTATTATTCTAGGCTCACCGCTCCACCCCACAGGAAACAGAGCAGGCCTGCGCCGCTTACACAAGCCACCCATGTGAGGATATTTATTACCTCTGATTTCAGTTTTTTGTGAGACCGCCTTAAAGCGAAAGGAAAACCAAGAGTCACGCTTATCTGATCTGCAATAAATGACTTTCATTGTTGCATTGGAAGCAATATTAACATTTCATTACACAGTGCAACGGGAGAGCAAAACCACAAGTAGAAGAAACAATAAATAGGTTCTTTTAAACAAAAAAAAGTCATTGAAACCAGAATACATCCACTTCATACCAAAATATACAGCAGAAACAAAGATCAGATTTGCAAGGGAAGCCAATCTCCACATTTCCTGAACAAATACCGAACAAACTATGATAGCAGGAAAGATAGTTCACAAAGTACAAACACTGTACCTTTTTATCAGAGACAAATAACAAATAGTAGCTGACTTTAAAAGCAATAGTGAAAAGACTTTTTTTTTCTCAGACAGGCTTTTAATAAAATATTTCTGTATGTAGATTTTAATCTACATAGTTTATCTGCAAATTAATATTTTTGTCATCATTTACTCCTGTTTTGCTATGACATTTGCTTTTTTTAGAGTCACACTTTATTTTGATGGTCTGTTTGTTGAATTAAGTTACATTGCATCTACGTTACAACTAATTCTCATTAGATTATAAGTAGACTGTTAGGTTGGGGTAAGGGTTAGTGTAAGTTGACATGTACTTGCAAAGTTTCTTATAGTCAGTTAAATGTCTGTTTGGCAGCAGTCAACAGATATTAAGCAAACAGTCTACTAATACTCAAATGAACCATCAAAATAAAGTGTTACCAGTTATATTTTTACTTTTTATGTCCATTCAAAGTCAGTAGGTTCCAAAACATTACTGAACCCATTGGACTTAAATTGCATGTACAAAAAAAGTCTCTCGTTTTTCATTTATATGAATAAAGGATGACAGATTCTTCATTTTTATCTGAACTATCCCTTTAATATCTTTCCTCCTTTGAACTTTTTTTCTTTTCTAACATTAAATTAAAACAAAATCTCCATCAAAGTATCTCAGTCTAGAAAGAGGTCATTAAAAATATATGCTTTCTCCACTTTTCTTCAGAAGTTCTGCTGAAAACATAAGCGAAGCCACAAAAGACCACCGGCGGTGGCTACACTACCCCAACGGAGAACCTTAAGGTATGAAACGCCTGTAAAAAAATACTTCTCTTCAATATCTCACGCCTCCACACTGTGGTGCTCTATTCTACGGAAGTAAAACGGTGTCTTTTTGTCGGATACGGTAAACAAAGGTTGCAGACTTTGGCTTGCTTTTGTAAACAGAGGCCACTCGGGGACGAGGAGGGTTCAGGGGTGTACGGTGGGCGGGCTGTTACCCTCGTCTCTCAGAATGCTACATTTGAGAGTTACATCAAGTCTTTCGACGGTCACCACACATGCAAATACTCACAAACATAGTTTTACTCTGGGCCCTGAACATGCTACACATTCAGCAAAATGCCACAGCGACAAATAATCACATCATAGACCAGATGCAGGATAAAAAAACCAATCCAGGCCCCAAAAATGACTCAAAGACACAACTTGTGATCTTTAGTTTTGTTTTTTTAAGTTTTTAAAGATTCATCACAAACACAAAAGGGTAGAAACATTTAAAGCAATATGACATAATGTGCATTTGAGGCCTGGATTGGTTGGTTTCTTTTCTTTTTTTTTGTTGCCTTTTTCGGCTGGCAGAGCTGTAGCACAGATAAAGTTAGACTGGACAGATCGGTTTAACTCCACATGAATTATGGGGGAACAGCAGAAGAGCACAGCCAGATTAAAAACAAAAACAACAGGCTCCCCACCACATGCAAATTTCACTTCTTTACATTCTCTTCTCTTTTTTTGACCAGCCGAGAGACACAAACCGCACTGTGGTCACACCGTCTGCGTTTACACAGAGCTGCCTGCTTGCAAGGATGAAGCGGAGTCACTGGCACGGAAAATGAAATGATGGTGGAACGTGACGGCTGACAGGCACCTTCACCGGGAAAACAAACCCATGGATATATGTCGACAAACAAACAAGCATGGACACCTCGATGGTCATATTTAAAGCACACACTGACAGATGAAGGCACTATTGCAAGCAAATTCCCATGACTATTTGCGACAACCTACAGTCCAAACCTCACTTGGGCTAGATGTTACAGCGGGCCTTTGATTCTGCTTGGTTTTTCATATCATTCCCCATCTTATGTTATGGCTAGCATCTATCTTTGCTTTTCGAAATTAACCGTTTATGTCTAAAATTCAAATTAATTGAAAACAAGAGCAGCTTACTGACAAAACTGAAGAGTGCAAATTGCTTTAAGGGCTTCACATGGCAATGTTTCAGCTGGTTTTTATATCAACTCCAAATAAAAATAGACTGGAAGTGGACGTGACCTGTGAATGCACGTCCTTTTGACAGCTGAAAGAAGTTTGCATTGGGAAAAGTTGCGATAACTAAAAGCGTCGTGATTAATCACTCATAAATATTATGCTAGTTAATGTAAATTACTTGAAAGAGGGCATCTGTTGCGTTCAAGTGAAACAGTGGATCTATATATCTACACAGAGAGGCAGAAAATCAGAACATTCTCATTTCTTGCTGGTGGAATGATCTTCTATTCGTATTTCCAAACACAAATATCTCTTCAGTGTGTATTAAACTGCATCCTGCTGAACAAGCAAAATCGCTATCATTTCACTCATCCTTGATAATCTTTGAAAAAGCACTTGTGATTATTCGCCTCTTTACGATGAATCGCTTCCTCATTGCCTTGGATAAAAACGGTGTCAATTTAAGTGCGGAATAGTTTCACTACAGTAAAAATTAGGGGCTATATTGTTTAAAAATAGGGAATTTATAGACTTTAAGGGATTTAAAAAGGATTCTTAAAGTGAAATCCGATCTTGAACATTCTCATTATCCTGTCAGTAGTGAAAAAACTGCTGCAAATGAAGGTAATGAAGGAAAATAAAAACTCATTGCAGAGACATAACAACCTAGCCCAAGGGTTCTTGGCAGATGAGTACATTCAGGTTACATTCTCATTCCAAAGGATCATCCAGATCGTCGTCGACCACCAGCGCCTCAAAACCCGGGCTGGGTTTGCTAGCTTTGCTTTTGGCTCTGCTGTGTGAAGAGGAAGAGGAGGTCCTGTGGTTGTCCAACCTGTCCAGGCCATCAGACTGAGGCTCGCTCTGCTCCTGTTGTGGCTGTTTCTGCTGGCCACCTTTGCCCCAGTTCTGGAACGGTCCTTGGTCTCCAGAAGGGTACAGGTCGTCATCCACTGCAAAGTTGTCATCCACACCCATGTCGTATCGCTGGTATGTGCTGGCATGAGCTTCCTCCTCACGTGCTGTGATCTCCAGAGTGCTGTTCCACATGCCATAGCCAAAGTAGATCAAAACACCTGAAGCGATGAGACACAGACAACACAAACAGTGCATAAGCTAATGTACTGTACAAATGTTAGCACTCAGTGTGTTCAAATAGTCTAAAATTTTGATCCAAGTTTTTATTGACCAAATAAACACCAATAAAACACAGCAAAGCACTGACTGAGGAGACTTTAGTCTGCTCTTTATGAGGGATAAACTTGAGAGCCATTTATTTCATTATTCAATTGATTGTATATCAGTATGTGAAGAGTTCAGATCCAAAAGCCTCTAAGTGCCAATAAGACATTTTCTTCTAAAATAGGCTTTTTTCTCAGGCTGGCATGCTTATGTTGATTCACATTAAATGCAATCAAAGGAACCTATCCATCACCATAAAATGAAGTAATTGAACCTACAAACAGGAGCCTGAGAAAAATACAAATTTTAGAAAAACATTTCATATGGGACTTAGGGTGCTTTTACATCTGTGAACTTCGGTTCATTTGGTCCGGACCAAGGCCAACAAATGATACATTGTAGCAGTTTTCTGCCATTTTGGGGCCTTTTTCACACCCCACTGATTGCTTTGGTCCAAACCAGTTGAAAAGAACTAAAATCCAGTCATGTGACAAAATCCACATCACTCATTGGCCAGATGTTATTGAACATATTTCCTAAACTGCTTTTATTTGTCAGAATTAACATGCGGGAAAATGCCAATGGAAATCCCACAAGTAAACAAACCAGCAGACACAAAATGTGATGACTGCAATGGCTGACTGTATCCCTGGTACTATGTATACTATATATTTTGTATTCATCACTTTAGAAACTATAAAAACTATACATTTCGAGAATGAAGCGTGGATGCGGCTGGATAACAATGCTTTAATGCATTGCAAATGGCGAAGGCGTATCTCAAGTCACTTCAGGAGTAACTAGGCTTGAATTAACTTAGCTAAACTGCGACATAGTCATCTTACGGAAATATTACCAACGACCCATCAGGTAATGTTTTCTCTATCTCTCTCTCTCTATGTTTACAATTGTTGCTAAAGCGCTGTCCACAAATATTTTTTCTCAATCTCAAAAAACAATCTCTAGTTCGATTCAACCGAACTAAATATGCCAGATTTTAAAAAACTCTTAGAGGCTTTTGGATCAGACTTTCAGGAATATGCCCTGTCCAAGCTCAGGAACTTAAACATTGTTATTTTAATATCCACACAGATAAAAATCAATTGACTATCTTAATTATAAAGAATGAAAAAATACTATAACTGCAACATTTTAAATAATTAACTAACTTACTATTACATTTTAAAATATTTAAGCTTAATTCTATGGGTTTAAATGTTTAAATACAGCCAATTTTTTAGGTTTAGATATTTTATATATATATTATTTGAGCTGATTTTATGAATATTACCAATAAATGGAAAACAAATTAAGAAAACTTGAAATACATACAGTTAAAATAATATGTAAAAATCTAATTTCAAACAAATAAGTTAAAGGAAAAAATAAAATATCTGCAATATTAATAATTTAGTAACTTGTTATAATATTTAGAAACACTGTACATAAGATTAGGTCAATGATTACAATATACTGTATTGTTTCTTTTTATTAAAGTATTTTAATACATACATAGTCAAATATAAAATTGCACTACTCTTTCCAAGTCTAGAAAAAATTCTTCATCACAAATTTTTAAGTCTTTAATGTTTGCCAGGACTCCATTAATTTGATCCAAAAAACAATTCAAAGAATAATCTGAAATATTAATACATATTATAACAGCACTTTTATCTTTTGGTATGTTTTTAATGTATTTTTCCTGTGATGGCAAAGCTGAATTTCACAAAATAGAGTATTCCAAATAATATTTCTTCTTATTATCAAAGTTTAAACTATTTACAATTTATTTATTCATTTATTCATTTTCTTTGTGGCTTAGTCCCTTTATTAATCTGGGGTTGCCACAGCGGAATGAACCACCAACTTATATGTTTTATGCGGCGGATGCCCTTCCAGCTGCAAGCCATCACTGGAAAATATCCATACACACTGATTCACACTTATACACTTTGGCCAATTTAGTCACCTAATTCACTTATACCTCAGGTCTTTGGACTTGTGGGGTAAGCCGGAGCAACTGGAGGAAACCCACATGAACACTGGGAGAACATGCAAACTCCACAAAGAAATGCCAACTGACCCAGCTGAGGCTGGAACCAGCAGCCTTCTTGCTGTGAGGCGATCATGCTACCCACTGCACCACCGTGACACCTATTTACAATTTATACTATTTTCTATTTAATATTTTTATAGAAACCTGGAAACTCTTTTGATAACCTTTAATTATAAATCTTTCTTAAAATCTTTCAAGTCTGCCATTGCTGATGAAGCTAAATATCATATTATTTCATTAAAGTATATATTTTTTAAAGTGTATAATACAGTATGAAACTGCACATAAGTAAATAACTAAAAACCTGCCATAAACACAAGATTAAATTAAGATCAATATGATTAAAACTCACCCACAAAGCACCACACTCCAAAACGGATCCATGTGATAGTGGAGAGCTTGAGCATGAGGTAAACGTTCACCAGCATAGCAGATGCCGGGACGAAGGGCACACAAGGAGCCATGTAGGGCAGACGCTTTGGGTTCTCCGGCTGCTGAATGATGATGAAAACCAGGAGAGTGAGGACCAGCAGGAGCACCACCAGCAGCAGGACGGCCCACCACTGACCATCAGCGATCTGACCCGAGCCGAAGATGATAAGGGAGCAGAAGCAGAAGATCAGGATGAACAGCAGAACTACACAGCGAGTGACAATGCGCCCGGTGGCCACTGTGGGACGATCCATCTTGCCTGGTAAACCCAGCCGAATGCGCATGGTATAATAGCGTGGGCCGAGTAGCTTCTTGAGCTTCAGCAGATACGCGCTGTCCGTCTCATCCGACTCAATGCCTGAGGACATATCCACTGTGCCGTAGTTGGGATGACTGGCGGTGTAGGTGGACTTGTCAGGTTTGCCAATCAGCATCTCATTGTCCCCAAGAGATGGCAGGTTTTTGGCTCCACAGGTGTTTGTTGGAACTCCTCCGTAATCGTCACCCTCACTGACCGGCGAACAGGCTTCCTTCTCGCACTCGGCCAGAACTCCCTCCTTGCGCTTTGAGTTTTGCTCAGAGAGGAAGTTGACAAATCCGTGAATGTCACCTTCAGGCTGGTAGCGCAGCAGGAGCACACATACTGACACTAGAGTGTAGGCTAACAGAGTGCCAATGGACATCATCTCAATCAGGTCTCTCAGACTGACCAGCAAAGCCAAGAGTGCTGAGAGGAAGCCGGACACCACACAGGCCACAGCAGGAGTCTCTGTGTATGTGCTCACATGGGCCAGGAACCTGCAAAATAAAAATGACAACTTCAGACCTCCAATCACACGAGGGTAGACGCACATAACATCTGAAGTGGGATTGCTACCCCAGCTCTGACACTTGTAAAGTCTGGTTTATCCAGTAAATTTAAACTGTTCTTGCTTATTACTAAAAATAAATCTCAATAGAATAAATGGGGTCACAATTCACAGTCTTAACAAACCATTAATTAACACTACTGACTTAAAGTTTCCATGAAATTAAAATAAAGTTTTTAAGATGTTAGCATCAGTATGGTAGTTTAAGATATCTATAGTCTTGTGTGCTACAAAACAGTGAAAAAGCTTGTAAAGCTTTTAGTTTGTCACTTCCGCCATGCATATATAAAATGCATATATAAAAAAGGTTAAGAGAAATAAAGCAAAAAAAAAAAAATTTAATTCAATAATTTTTCAAGTAGCATGAAAGATCGTATTATATTTTCAATTAATCTAAGTGATTTAATTAAATGTTCTATTTCACATAAGAATTCTATAAAGATTGGACTTTTTTTAAAGGAACCTCTATTTGTGAAAGTAAAATTTCCCGCAAGTATAAGAAAGTTCACAGTGGCTTCTAACGACTTGTTTTGGTTTTCAAAATAACAAATAACATCCTTAATGTGCAAATTACCACTCATATTAACCTTGGAAAAGTAATATAAACTTAAATCATTCCAAAACAATGATGATACATTGGATGAAAAAAAAAGTAACAAATACCTTCTAATTCTTACAAAATGTGCAAATATCAGAAACATCACAATATTTGGATCAGAGTGCATTACATGGGTAAATATTGTGATGCACTTGACCTCAACCACTCTCACTGGCAGAGCTGTGATGAAACAAAACACTACTGGCTGCTTTTTTTAAAGGGAAGGGGCTACACTGTGTCCCACCCTCTATCTGTGTTTTGGTTGAGATTGCGTCAACCGTCAAATAAGAATGCAAATTTCAAAGCACTTCACGAGCACTAAACTCCAAATAAGCTGTTGATTAATAGTAAGGCAGAATTTGGAGTTAGGTTTTGAGCAGGATTAGGAATACGTAAAAAAAGATACTTTATTACCAATAATGAACTGGTGATATCTTAATAATAGGCAGATAAATTGTGACCTAAACTAAAGTGTTACCCAAAAACGATTAGCACTAGAATACAGAGGTAGTCACTTTGATATTTTTTTTTTTATATTTTGTACTTCTTTTTTTTAAAGTTTATTTAATGTGCTTTTTGCATTTTATAAAACTTCAACAAAACAAAATATAAAAGAAAGAGAAAAAATACAATACAAAAAAATAATAATACATATAAAATACAATACATAAAAACACTAACCTATTACTGAACAACCGAACGACAGAACACAGAGGGACACATGCACATGAAAGCAAAATATCATTTAGCTGGTCATGTAATGCATAAATAAAAGTAATTATAATGTAACATTGTTCTTGTATTACCAGAACATTCATTATTCTGACTAAAGTTTTATTGTCAAATAATAGCTTGGGCACATTATTAAAAACATTATAGATTATGAATAGTGAATACCAATTACACTCAATCTTTTAATTATTGTGTTACTGACAGGGGTCATTGGTTACACTTGCATTTCTTCCAATGCATTAAGGTGTTTTAATATCTGTCCACATGTTTTATCAAATATCTGAAATTTGTCATTATTGATATATCTCAACTTCTCCAAAGCAAACATGAATAGCAAATCTCTATTCCACATACCAAATTTAGATACAGATTGATTTTTTTCACATTCTCAAAATCACCCTTTTGGCAATTACCATACCAAATAACATGGCTTGTCTTTCATATTTATCAAACATCTCTAAGTTACTAAGTATCCCAAGAACAGCTATAAGTGGACACGGTTTAAGACTTTTTTGGAGGGCTTTAATAAAACATTCAAATATATTTTCCTCCTGAAGATCCTTCTGTTGCTTTACACCTATTACAAAGTGGAGATACCAGAGGAAATCTAATCTAATGCAGTTTCTCCTTAGATAAGTATGACCTAATCAGGGTTTTAAATTGAATTAAATTACGTAAATTGAGCATGCATGTATATTCTAAAGGCCTTCTTCCCAACTCTCCAAATCTATCTCTAACCCTAATTCATTCTCCCAGGCTTGCTTAGCTTTGATTTCATTTACAACTTCCTGTCTTAACAAGATGCTATAGAAATTTGACACAGCTTCTCGATGTATAGAATTAAACCTGTTAATTTCTTTGAGCACATTGTGTTGCTTTATAACATATTAATATTAATATTTGGTATTCGTTTTATCACAAAATCTCTAATCTCTAGGTATCTGAAGAAGTCAGAGATATTGATATTGAATGTGATTTTTAGTTGCTCAAATGAAGCAAATGTTCCATCTATATTTAAATCGTTTATTTTTTTAATAACATTTTTTTCCTTTAATAACTTTTTCAAAATAAAACCCATATGACATAGTTCCCTGACTTTTCCTAAAAATGTCTATATTTTATTCTAACACTATTTAATTAAAATTACAAAACACAAAAAAGTTTTAAAAATTTCTACCTTGAATGACAACAATAATCAAATTGACCACATTCATTTCAGCATTCACATTGCTTTACATATTTAAGCCTCTGTTGCCTATCAACTTTCTACCAACAAAAACTTTATGTGAGCAAAAACATCTTTTTATTTTTTCAAAACAACATTTTCACTGGAGTGAAAAAAGCCTTTGCTTATCTGCCTGCTGGATAAAGTGAGATAGACACCTTTGTGGGTGGTCTAGTACAAAATTATTGACTATATTACAAAATAGTTTATATTATTTTAGTGTAATGACTTAAAATAAATAAAAATAAAATAAAATATGACAAATATAATATAACAAACATTCAAAGCTTAAAAAAATCCCAATAAAAGCTTCAAATGTAAATATGATGTGACAATATGGCATCTTATGTGAATGGTAAGAAATGACTGTTGTGACCATTCTAGAAGTTATAGAATTTTGGAACATTTTTAACAATAAGGAATGTTAACTAGATATTAAAGTTTGAGGACAAACTTTATGGTGGCTTGAAAAGCCGAATCTGAAAGTTTGAAGTGGTTTTAAAGTGTAAATAGAATGTTAGTATGATTTTAGCTTGAGTTAACATATTACTAGCATGAATTAGCATGTTAGTAGCATGATTCTTACATGAATTAGCATGTTGTTAGCATGATTCTAGCATGAATTAGCATGTTACTAGCATGATTCTAGCATGAATTAGCATGTTGTAAGCGTGATTCTAGCATGAATTAGCATGTTACTAGCATGATTCTAGCATGAATTAGCATGCTACTAGGATAATTCTAGCATGAATTAGCATGTTAGTAGCATGATTCTTACATGAATTAGCATGTTGTTAGCATGATTCTAGCATGAATTAGCATGTTACTAGCATGATTCTAGCATGAATTAGCATGTTGTTTGCATACATCTAGCATAAATTAGCATGTTACTAGCATGATTCTAGCATGAATTAGCATGTTGTTAGCATGATTCTAGCATGAATTAGCATTTTACTAGGCGGTTGCTAGGGTGTTTTAAGTGGTTGCTAGGTGGTTGCTAAGGTGGTGCAAGGCAGTTGCTAAGGTGGTCTGACTATTTGCTTGGTGGTTGCTAGGGTGTTGCTAGACGGTTGCTAGGGTGTTTTGAGGGGTTGCTAGGTGGTTGCTAAGGTGGTGCTAGGCAGTTGCTAAGGTGTTCTGACTAGTTGCTAAGTGGTTACTAAGGTGTTGCAAGGTGGTCGCTAGGGTATTCTGAGTGGTTGCTAGGTGGTTGCTAAGGTGTTGCTAGGCGGTTGCTAGGGTGTTCTGAGTGGTTGCTAAGGTGTTGCTAGGTGGTTGCTAAGGTGTCCTAAGTGGTTGCTAGGTGGTTGCTAGGGTATTCTGAGTGGTTGCTAAGGCGTTGCTAGGGTGTTGCTAGGCGGTTGCTAGGGTGTTCTGAGTGGTTGCTAGGTGGTTGCTAAGGTGTTGCTAGGTGGTTGCTAAGGTGTCCTGAGTGGTTGCTAGGTGGTTGCTAAGGTGTTGCTAGGCGGTTGCTAGGGTGTTCTGAGTGGTTGCTAGGTGGTTGCTAAGGTGTTGCTAGGTGGTTGCTAAGGTGTCCTGAGTGGTTGCTAGGTGGTTGCTAAGGTGTTGCTAGGTGGTTGCTAAGGTGTTGCTAGGCGGTTGCTAGGGTGTCCTAAGTGGTTGCTAGGTGGTTGCTAAGGTGTTGCTAGGCGGTTGCTAGGGTGTTCTGAGTGGTTGCTAAGGTGTTGCTAGGTGGTTGCTAAGGTGTCCTAAGTGGTTGCTAGATGGTTGCTAGGGTGTTCTGAGTGGTTGCTAAGGCGTTGCTAGGTGGTTGCTAGGGTGTCCTGAGTGGTTGCTAGGTGGTTGCTAAGGTGTTGCTAGGTGGTTGCTAGGGTGTCCTGAGTGGTTGCTAGGTGGTTGCTAAGGCGTTGCTAGGCAGTTGCTAGGGTGTTCTGAGTGGTTGCTAGGTGGTTGCTAAGGTGTTGCTAGGTGGTTGCTAAGGTGTCCCAAGTGGTTGCTAGGTGGTTGCTAAGGTGTTGCTAGGTGGTTGCTAAGGTATTCTGAGTGGTTGCTAAGCGGTTGCTAGGGTGTCCTGAGTGGTCGCTAGGCCCTTACTAAGGCATTACTAGGCCATTGCTAGGTGGTTGCTAGGCGGTTGCTAGGGTAATTTGGGTGGTTGCTAGGCAGTTGCTAGGGTACCCTGGTTGGTTACTAGGCAAGCCTCACATACATGCTTGATAAAACATTTATACTTAGTAAGCATTTCTAGCAAGTTACAGTACTTGGCTAGTCAATATTAGCATGTAGCTAGTCACTGCTAGCATGTGTAGCATATAGGAAGTTTCGTTTGCTAGCATGAGTCAAACGAGCCAATCTCCAAGTCTCTACGATGTTCTGATGCTGAGATATAGCTGTTGATGAATGGTTGCTAGGG